AGGATCTTGAACAGAGGAGCGACGGATTAATTAGGGAATAGAAGAAATGAAGATTACTGAGAAAAACATTTAGGAATCATAAAATAAAGGGCCAAGTTAAACTTTAAGCACCACTCACTAGCAATCAGTGAATGATCTTGAATGATCCAATGGGTTTAATCCATGTGAGTTGAAGGTTCTATTCCGCTTGATTTGTAGTCAAATGTCAGGTAAGGTAAGCTGGTGATTCTAAAATTTCGTAGGGATATTTCTTCGCTAGGTCCCACTTGTGCTTAACCAAGATTATGTATATTTGTAGTTACTGGGTTTCGAAAACAACCCATCAAAAGGTCAGTGGTACCAGCACTGAAGAGATATCGTGTCATGGAAAATGGAGAGAATTATTTCGTTATTAGTAGGAGAAGGTGTCATCGTACACGTGGATGAGTGGAAATGTTATAACTCCCTGTTGTCCCTTGAATATATTCACCACAGAGTGTACCATTCTAATGATTTTGTGGATCTCATTACAGGAACACACACCAGTTTTATCGAAGGCTTTTTGGGAAAGGTTAAAAAACAGGATTACGGCCATTAAAGGATCTCGAAAGAATGTCATTTATAGTCATTTAGATGAATATATATGCTTAGAATGTGGTGTGACTTTTCCATTCATATTCCTGGGCTAAACTGGGAGATGTTTTCACCACATGTCAGAGAAAGGTACCTTATGAAACATTTTTATGCAGTTTTTATGCATTTTTTTCATAAATATATATGTTTTCCATAAACAGAAATGCCTAATTCATGTGATTGGTGCGTTCGAGGGCATTCGGTGACTGCTTTTAGTGGTGTCTAAAATTTGACATTGCCAAATAAAGATAAAAGAAGCAGAATGCGAATAACTACCATAAAATGAAACCTCCAATGTAAAGTTTTTTTATATTTTGACATTACTGTACATCATTTCACCGAGTTGAAAGATCCTCTGATAGCAGAAGCGTAACGGCAGAAGATAGCAGAACTGGGAACGGACTTCATTTGTTAAGGAAAAACACATCATGTTCGTACATTCTGAACCAGGTAAGTGGACAGTAAGCTGCTCCGATTAGCTGTTGATTAGCCCAAGGTTAAACAATCTGACGAAAAGCAGTCCAGTGGAAATACTTCATGACTTGAACGCAAATTAAATCCACATTTGCGATATAAACACTTCCCTTTCCAGCCATTAACTTAAAATATCGATTTGAATTTTTGGCCACTTCCTATCAATCTGCACATACGAAGCATACACCACAGAAGTAGAAGTGGAAGTGTTGTTTTCCTTCCGCAACTGATAACCAAAAGTCCAATGGAATGAATCACTGTACCTGATCTAAATTCTAAAAAACCTAAAGTAGTTTGGGACATGTAACTTTCTGATTTAGTTAGTTAATAAAGCAGGATTTAATGAAATTATCGAATTTCAGCAGGAATCTTCTGCTGGATGCTCTACGTACAGGGACATAAAATTCAGACAAAATGTATTATAGTTCAATTACATCACTTAAATAAACAATAAGTTACAGTTTTACGAGTTTGATCACGGATTGATATGAGTTAGAGAACCAATGAAAACCAGGTAGTACTGAACAACTGTTTCATCCCAGTTTGTGAATCATTGGCAGTACGCGCCCGCCGGGGTTCGAACCCAGGACCTCGGGAGTTTCCTGAAACTCTATTGATAAGTCGTCACCAGTGAGGTCTACCCAGTCAAGTGTGAGGATAGATTTCCCGACGATGACATTGGTTGGCGGGCGCGCCAAATAACAAGTAGGAGAAGTTAGAATTCCTTTAGTGGCCACTGAGCCGGGTCCTACCTTGTAACCGGCAAGTCCTGGGTTCGAACCATGGTCGTGGGTGCGTACCGCTGATGATTCCCAAAGTAGGCTGTTGAAACAGCTGTCCAGTACTCCCTGGTCTTCAAAGATTTTCTAACTCATATCAATCCGTGGTCAAACTCGTGAAAACAAACCTAATCCTTACAAACCAACTCTTGAAAATTAGTTATAGGTCAGTGAAAAAAGTTAAACACATCAAGAATCGCGAACTAAGTAATACTGATTATAATAGTAATGCCAATAATACCAACGATAATAACAATCAATAATGTTAAAACGAATTAAGAAAATGATAATGATAAAAGAGTTTTAAATGAATCAGAAATAGTAATTATAAGAGGTAGAATAAAATATTAATAATAATAACAGTTAATAAGTAAGACTCTACGTTAGATTCATAGTGACCACCATAATAACTTTCGTACACATGAACCTGCTTTATAAACTCTAATTGCACAAGCCTGAGCAATTGCAAACATCTTCCTGTTTGTTTGTCCGCTGACAACAGTGAAAGAATCCACAGCGTCAGTTCCGTGTCCACAGTCTACAAGATGCTTTGTTATTGAACTTTTTAGCACTTTGATTTGAGCTGTTTGCAATCACTTTAGTAAACGCTCCACCATGTGAGTAAACAATTGTCTTACCGTATGACCTATGCATTTGCTTCCACAAACACACTCAAACTGATATACTCATTTTGAAGTGTTCGTGATTGGAAACGGCTGTTTCCCAGATTGTTGAAGCACCCGCTTTGTGGTGTTAAGGAAGACGAGTTTTACAGCATAATAAGTTATCTTGATAGATTTATCGAGTGTTCGTTTGACTTGTTCTTGTACAGCATTTCCTTTAAGTGGCAAGTTGATAAATAAAGCTTTGGTTACAGGATTCCATCATAAGCTGACATTGGTTAGAGAACCACTGGAAAACCTGGGAGTACTGGACAGCTGTTTCATCCTAGTCTGAGAATGTTCATCAGTTTGCACTCACCGGAAGTCGTGACCAGTAGGGTTCAGCAGGTTGGGTGTGAGGACAAATACTCGCCGAAGACATTGGTTAGCGGTCTCACTATGCCATGAATTGGCAAAAGTTGAAATTTATGGGCTAATCAATTTCGCTCATGTATATAAATGAAGTAAAAAGTTGTGTAAGTGACTTGATATGATTATGAGGAATAACTTATGCTCGAAACGTCACCAGTTAATATTACTGTATAACACTATGATTTATCAGAATAAAATCTTATCTATAATGGAGTTATACTCTACTACAGTGCCCAAGTTTTATGCTTATAGGAATTCATGGGTCATTGGATAGTGTCCCAGTGGCTTGGTGTTCTACAAACTCGACTTGTAACCAGAATGTCCTGGGTTCGAGACCTGGTGGTGGGTGTGTGCTGCTGAGGATTCCCAAACTAGAACGAAACAACTGTCCAGTACTGCCAGGTTTTCCAGTGGTTCTCTAACCGACATCAGATCATGGTGAAATCCTGTAAACAATAAATCAAATCTCTACAAAACAATACTCGAAAAATATAAAACTTTCTTTGAAACTGTTTCTATATTTTCACCGGGACTAATCTCTTTAGAGTATTTATTGATGAATCTCTCAAGATATCCATTCTTATAAAAAATATCCTTCAGAGTCGTTGTTTCATGTTCAGTGGTACTGTTAGAACAAACTTTTCGTGCTCTGTTGGGCAGTTTTCTGACTAAGTTATTTTTATATTGGATCGGAACAAAACTTTTAAAATGCATGTACTTTTTAGACAAAGCAATAAGAAGACGTAATTTATCTGAATCGTGTAATGTACATTTGCGCAACATATTTCGAACAATTTGATCACACACACGACTTGTTATAGTAATATACGTGAAATTAATAGAGCTAAGAGGTGAGAAAATAAATATAGGTCAAGTTAAAAGGACATATTGAAGGTCAAAATAGCAGTGAAGATCAATAAACCAAATAAGAGAGGTAATAGTACATCTGCTATTGTATCAAAACAAAGTTTACCAAGGAAGGTGGTTTAGTGTGACGACGAATTGTTGCTTTGATCGCATAAAGGTGGTTTAAACCTTCTAATTGACAGCTAGGGCTTCCACAAACTTTAGAATACTCCCCGAACCCGTTTTATAGAGAGGTTTAAAAGATGTCTAAACATTGATTTTATATCCTGTCTCTGTATTATGTTTCGCAATAGAGAGCTCTGGGTCTCCTGTTCTCACCATTAATGGGTTCTGGGGATTCTGTTTACTTCTGAAGCCATTTAGGAATATGCCCTGAAGCCAGCCCTTACTTGCAGAGATCGATGAGTCCTCCCTATATATATGTGTGTGTGTCCACATGTACATTCGAATTGGTAAATACATTGGGATGTGACATCATTTTTCGCATGTTCAAAGGGCTTAGATGGATATATTGGCTTCACACTCTCAATTATTATGATATTAGTTGTATAAAACGTCTTCTTAACAGCAGCGTTCAAGCTTTGTCTAGTTATCAAGCTGCTATGATTCCCCATATAGGGTAGCTTGATGTACACATCTTTCTTAGGGGCGAGTTGGAGAGTGGATCTTGGTGATCTGATTACTTTATCTGTGTTTTTTTCAAGAACCATTGACGACCAGGAAATACTGGACATCTGTTTCATCTTAGTATGGGAATCATCGGTAGTAGGCGTCCACTGCCATGGTTCGAACCCAGGACATTCCAGTTACAAGGCAAGCTCGTATACCATTCAGCCACTGGGACCCGATTCAATGGCCAGTCCATGAATTCTAGCTTCTACCAATTCGTAATTTAGCACGACCACCAACCAATGTCATCGGTGTGAAATCCATCCTCACACTTGACTGGATGAACCTCACTGGTCACGACTTCTCACTAGAACTCCAGGAAATTCCGTCCTGTAGCAAGTCACTAGCGAACATCAGATTAATTTTCAAGAGTTGGTTTGTAAGAATTAGATCTGTAGTTTTTCTTCGAGTATGACCCCATTTTATCTGTACTTTTGTTGCTTGTTTTAAGTTATTATCAGGAAATCAATGTTCCCAATTTCTAAAAATTACTGTATCAACAATTTTAACTTTTTAATTCCTTAAAATTCGATTTTTGTTGTGTTTTTTGTTTGTTTTGTTTTAGAGATAGAAAGATTACTACATCGGAATAAACGTTTCGATGATCTTTGCACTCTATACGCAATCTACGAACCGGATCAAGTTGTTACCCAGTGTTGTTGCATCGGTTGTACACGAAAATACCTCGAGCAATTTTGTAATCCAAACTAGAATGAAAAGATGAGCAGTGTGTTTTGTGATGTTGAACAAACCCAAAACAAACACGTATAAATAATTACGATAACAAGAAAAAGAAAAGAAATATTTTATTGTATTTTATTTTTAAAACTTAACACTTTAGAGAGAAAATAGCAATAATAATAATAATAAAACGTTTTTCTTAAATATGTTGTTTACAAAAATTTTTGGTTCATTATAGTTTTCACTCTAGAAAAAAAATTGATATACTTTGTGGTTATTTTTTACCCTTTTGAAAGTAAATAGACTTCATTTTACTGATAGCAGTTTCATGTGAAGTTCAAAAGAGCCTGTTTCTTTATCCTAACAACTCTTAAGACTGGTGTATCAGCGATTTCCATAGTTATATATTGTAACTTGAAGCCAACACTCGATGCTTTTAACGTAATAGTAGTCTGATGCAGTAGTTTAGTTATCCAGCTACGTACATGGTACGGACATTCCATGTCCCCACAAGGTTTGTTTACAGGGTGGGGTTGCTAGCCTCACGCCTGAGAAGGGGGGTTGTTACATCAATTTATAATTTAGAGAGAAGCAACCTTGTGGGTTGCTCCCCTTAAAAACCAGGAAAACAGGGAATAAACAAGCAGAAAAACACCAGCACAGGAAAATAATTCACAAGAAGGGTAACAAGCGACAACAACAATAATAATATCACAGTCAATTACAGTTAACCAAAATGATACCAAAATCATAGACTCACTGACTTGAGCCAACTTGAACATGTAAATCCGTCAATATATATACAATAATAATATCATATAATAATATATATACAATAATAATAATAAATTACAACGTGCTCATTAATATATATGTGTGTAAGACTTGGGCACTGTGGTAGTATGTAATTCCATATCAATTTGTTTACCGGACATATCAGACAGTGAAGAAACAGTATTACTGTTTACTGGATGACAATGTTTCGAACACAATTTGTTGTTCATAATCATTTCATCAATTATAATCACACGACTTCGAAACTTTCGTTTTATGGTTTTCTTTATTCCACCCAAATTGTTGTGGGAGTAGTAAACTTTTCCAAGTGTCTGGGACGGGTGTTGAATCATTCCTAATACACGCATTTTAAGTTGATTCGATAAATAAAGCTCGCGTTATCAATCTCTCCCTCTACCCTGTTAAACTACATTTTAAAACTGTCACCTTATCCCATCCTATTTTATGGTTGTGTGTAATTGCATGTAGTGAGTAGTATGGGTGGACTATTCTCCAGGTTTCTTAGCTTATTAGGGTCGACTAATCTATATTTTCCTGCAAGATTTTTGTGCTCCATTAGTCTGAATGACCCCGTTCTACTACTTTGACCTACGTATTTGATTTGACAGTCATTTAGGCAGGGTATTAGATAAACTAAATTGTTTTGTTTAATTGGCTCCACAGAACTGATCCTTTAACCGACATAGCTTGTTTTCGATTGAGTTTGTAGGGGGTTGAATGCCACTTTTATTCCTGCGTCGTTAAGAATTGTCCTTAAGGTTTCCGAGGCTCCTTCTTTGTATGGAAGTGCTAGTGATGATTTATATTCCCTATTGTGTGTGCATATTTGACATGCATATAGTCATTAATATTACTCTAATTACCATTAATTTTATTTTTACATTTTCCTATATACTTCCTGATTAATTTATCAGGGTAATTATTAAGTTTCAAAGCTTCTCTTATATACCTCACTTCCTGTCTTAGATTTTCCTTGGTTTTAATTAATTTTTGTGCCCTGTTACTTAAACATCTCACCAATCCTACTTTTTCTGACTTAGGATTCGAAGTTGTGTAGTTATAAATGGTATAATAGTGAACAATACTAAATTGTGTTTGAAAAGTCATCCAGTAAATAAACTGTTTCACTGTATGGTATATCTAATAAACAGGTTAACAAGCAATTACAACGTGGTCAGTTGTAGTTTTCAAAAAGCCTGAGTAGGTATGAAGCTCTCCTATACACTTCTATGTAATTTTTCAAACAAAATACGTATCTGGCATGAAAGACGAAAATATATTAATTCCGATAATTTATACGAAATATTAGAACTCTCATCAGCTGGTGACTAAATGGTAGAACGGATACCAGTCAAGCACAAGATTCATTTTTGACTCTTGACAGACGCACTCCCAAACCTCGTCTATCCAGAAGTAATCTTGAGAAAGAGGGAAGATTGCAACTCCAGCGCAGCTACTGAAACTTCAGTGACTGAAGTCCTTTGTCCCACTGGTAACGTGGCGAATGGAAAAAGTCAGAGCTCCTAAAACATTTTTTAATTTTTTTTTACAGCATTTGTACCATACTACTGTTGTTCCCTCGGGTTCCGAGTGGATGATAGGGCCTCAACAACACGTTCCCACTTTCTCCTATTTTCCGCAGTCCTCTTTAGCTAGCCTTAAGGTTGCTTATAATCTCTGATGTCCTCTTCACATGACCTCCTTGATGTCACCCTTAGAAACTTCACTCATAGTTTCCCATTCGGATTCCACTCGAGGATATGCCTGGTTTGAGACGTCATTCGACGATCACCTCAGTGTGTGTCCAACCCATCTCCATTTTCTTCTAAATATTTTCTGTAGTTGGTTTGTAAGGGTTAGTTTTGGCTTTTTTACGAGTTGATCACGGATTGATATCAGTTAGAGAACCATTGAAAACCAGGGAGTACTGGACAGCTGCTGTTTCTTCTTAGTATGGGGCACTTCAGCAGTATGCACCCACTGGGGTTCGAACCCAAGACCTTCCGGTTACAAGGTAAGCGCGTATACCATTCAACCACTCGGACCCAATTCAGTCGCTCATGAATTCTAACTTCTACCAATTCGTGATTTAGCGCGACCACCAACCAATGTCAATAGTGGGACATCCATCCTCACACTTGACTGGATGGACATCATTGGTCACGAATTCCCTCTAGAACTCCAGGAATCTCCATCCTGTAGCAAGTCACTAAATGGAAGGTCCTAATTTCGTACCTCAATGATTCCCAAACTAGGATGAAACAGCTGTCCAATACTCCCTGATTTTCAGTGGTTCTGTAACTGAGATCAATTCTAAATATTTGTTAAGCAACTGGTTCTTGGTTGGTTTGTTCCCACAGTTCCTCATAGCTAATTCTTTCTGGCCATTTAATCTTCAACATGGAGCCAGAAAAGGCAGCTGTCGATAAAAGCCTGCCATATCATGTATCAATATCTACTAAACTTCCTTTTCTGTCACCATCTCGATTAGACAAAACACTGAAAAGTACTCAGCTGAAAAAGATTAAATGAAAATTAAAAAATTTTAGCAGTTTGAATTTTTGCAGGTCAATCTGCGCTCACACAGTAACTGTAAATATTTATGAATACATAAAAGCTGTCTAGGTGTTAAGGAGAATTCACTAACCACAGGGCATAACAGTTCAGAATTTGTTTACTGTCAGGCCAACCAATTAATTTTTGTGTACATTCACCTGTAAATGACAAGATGAACTCACTTGTACGCAGTTTGGAGATCTTCTCTAGTACTTATCTATGAGCTAATGTGCGAACGTGTCCAGGGATTTTAGATTGCGAGATAGTATTTTACCCACTAAGGCACATGATGGAATTTCAGTCAGTGTCAAAACAACATATTGGTCAAATAAAGTTTCATCAATACTTTAATATAAAATGAAAAGTTGTTTAAAACGCATCAGAGTAGAATTACTGTTTTCATTTCTTGAAAACTTAACTGAAAGTAGCCTCAGAATGACTGTGTATCAATGCCGGTAAAAATTGAATCATCTGTTTATTAGAACTGGTCTTCATTTTGGCGGGAGACAAGATGGCTACCATTGCTTAATCATACACTGTTTGGCAAAAGATTGGAGAAATATGGTCACAAGTATTGTCTTACACAGAAAATTAAAGTTTATTTGCAGACTTTAGCTCTGATTAACCATTGTAAATCTGTTTCGTTATCGGTGGAGGAATAAACAATCGTATTGCCCAACTGTTATCTGTTGTTCCATATCAGCTACCGTGCATAGTATTCTGTGTATTAGTCTTAGTCTTCTGAAACCAGAGATAGGTCTAGGATCTCTGTGGTTTGGATATTTGTCACCATGTGTAAAATAAAAATGAATGAAATGCTGAAATGGACAATATGGATGAAGATTATCTCAATGGGATATGAATGAGTCCCTACTAAACAAATTTGAAGTTAGTTTTATTTGAATCATCTTTAGCTGAGAAAACCCAAAGGGAATCCGATGATGTTGTTATTATTATTAACATTGTTCCCTTGGGTTCCGAGTGAAACATACGGCTTCAGCTACACACCTCCACTTTTTCCTATTTCCCTCAGTCCCCTTTAGCTGACCCCACGATTGCTCATAGTTTCTGATCTCCTCCATGTAACCCTCATATTCATGCCAAACCCGTCGTTTCCCCTTTTGGGCTCTACTCCAGGGCCATTCTGGGGTGTGGTGTCATTCGTTGGTTTCATCAGTGTGTACCCAATCCATCGTCATTCTCTTCCACATATTTATTGAGCAATAGGTTCTTCGTTGATTTGTTCCCATAGTTTCTTGTTGTTAATTCTTTCTGGACATTTGATCCACAATATGCAGCCATCGGAGGCAGCTGTTGATAAAAGTTTGTGACGCACCAAGTTTCTGTGCCATAACAAAATAACTAAAAATCCCAATTTTATTCTTTGATCTGAGTGCAGAAGATTTCCAATATGATGATAAGTGGATCAAAATTATTCCAAAAGTTCCAGCTCAATTTCATGCAGCACCAGTTTACTTAGAAGATAAAAAGATTGAACAAATAATATTCCTTTCGATAACTTCCTCATCTGGCTCTATAGTTATTTGATTTTACATACAACCATACATTTGAAATAGTCAATAATTCGATCAAATTAAGGCAACAACTGCATGGATAATCTAAACACTGTGATGACGCGCACTATTTGCATAGTGTTAAGTAAGTTTCTTTGTTCACGATCTGTATATAACTCGACATCCAATTAGATCTGTTACAGACAATCTTTAAACGAATGCTAGTTTCAGAATAAAACTCTATTACCTAACAAATATACAGAAGGGAATGGAAATGGGTAGGACATTTGCTGACAAAAAACTTGAGTA